GTTCACTGGCCAGGAGCGTGCTGGGCTCCATGCACACCTCCAGACTAATGTGGGCAGTCAAGGGCCTGGCTTAGGGTCAGAGTGACCTGGGTTAAAATCCTGGCTCTGCCATATCCTGGCCTAATGTATGGCATGTCCGAGTCTCAGTGTCTCTCTCAGGGGGCTGCTGTGAGAATGACGTGTGACAGACTCAGCACACGCTGAGTACCTAATCAGTGAGTGCCTTTTCCTATCATTCCTCCCTTGAGAACCAACTGTGTACCAGGCCACGCGTGCCTGGGCTGCAGACTCAGTGGGAAGGAGGCAGACATCTGCACTGCCTCACCGGGCAGAGTCTGCCATGTGGGGTATAGGGAGAGAGTTCAGGTCGGGACCCCAGGCTTTGGGTTCCCCCACCCTCAAGCTGTCGGGGTTGCCTGTTTCTCGAGGAGTGGGGAAAGGAGCTTGGGGAACGACTCCAGCCCTGTGATGCTCAGAGGGGATGGGCAGGGGCTGGGCCCTGGGCTCCACATGGAGAGGGCAGGTCAGGGATCTGTCATTGCCACCACTCAGCACCCCCTGGCAAGGCAACTCGTCCTGAAGCTGGGGTGGGAGGCAGGCCTAAAGGCATGAAGGGTGCCCCTTCCCAAATCTATCAGATGGTTTCGACACAAGTTCAGGGCTGGTGGCCTGTACTTTGTGCCCCAGGCTGGGGAGCACAGCAAAGCAAGGAAGTAGTGGGCAAATAGGGGGTCTGGAATGAAGCAGGGAGATAGAGACTAGGAGACAGAGAACAAGAGAAAGGAGGGGACAGTGGCCAGGTGGTGCCAGTTCTAGGAAAGGCAAGCAGGTGGGACACGGCGTGCTGGCTTCGTGAGGCAAGCAGATGGTTCCTACAACCAGGGGGACACTGTTGGACCCCCACAGGGGCGGCTGGCCCAGCTGAAGGCTTGGCTTTGCCTCCTCCCCATGACAGTTCACTCCCCCAACTGTCCCCACCTGTGACTAGGAGATCCCCAAGGTCAGGCTGGGCCCAGCTCTGGGTCCTCCGGCTCCACACTGGGTGGGAGGCCCTCAGGGCCCACCTCCTCTGGTCCCAGGAGGCCAGCCTTTCCCTAGTCCCTGATCCCAGGTCACACAGGGGCAGGCAGGGGATCTCAGGGGGACAGTAGGGCCCAGTTCCTGGAGAAGGGGGTCACAGTTCCCTCCCTGGGCCTGGATGTGGTGGGGGTTTGGCTGCTCTGACTTGACCCTGCCAGGCCTCTGACCCAAGCCTGGGCATGGCATGTGAGGCCCTGCTCATTTAAAAAAAAAAAAAGCTTCACTGAGATACCGTAATATTCACCCACATAAAGTATACAGTTCAGTGTTTTTTTTTTTAGTGTATTCAGAGTTGTGCAACCATCACCACAATCTAATTTTAGAATATCTTCATCACCCCCAAAAGAAATCCTGTACCCATTAGCAGACACTCCCTATCCGCTCCCTTCCAGCCCTAGGCAACTACTAATGTACTTTCCGTTTCTATGGATTTGCCTATTGTGGACATTTCACAGAATTGGGATGACACAATAGGTGGTCTTTTGTGACGAGCTTCTTTCCCTTAGTGTAATGTTTTCACGTTCATCCATGTTGTCATGTGTATCAGTACTTCATTCCTTTTAATTGGACTCATCTCTTTGACACAGGCTTGGGCAACAGCAGTTATGCCTCTGATCTGAGGGAAGCTTGAAGCCCCCTCCTTTCCTTACTGCACAACCTGCCCAGGGCACCTTACATCTCCAGAAGCCCTTTCCCACCTGCTCTCCCTGGGGTGGGTTGAGTACCGGGGTCTGTGGGCTTCAGAGACCTGGTCAGGGTGGACCAGCAGGTCCTGTAATCTCACAGGACCATGGTGCCTTGGAGCTCACAGGCACACTCAGTATAGATGGGCAGACTAAGGCCCAGAGGGAGGTGGAGAAATCGTGGGCAGAATTGAAGCTCCAGCTCCCAGCATCATGTGGCCTTAGCCTTCTCTGCAAGGCATTCAGGGCCCTCCACACTCCATCCGCCTCAGCCTGCAGCCCACCTTCCCAACAGAAGGGAGAGGCAGGGCCTGCCATCATACCCACACAGGGCCCCCGAGGCCCCAGGTCACCACTCACGCAGCCTATTCCAGATGAAACTATCCTGCTCCTGCCGCAGCTGCCCACAGTCCACGTGGCACATTCTGCCAGTGATGGCCCAGCCTGAATTCAGAGGGCCAGGAGGGCTGTGTGTTCATGGTGGGTGGGGACATTGCCCTCACAGTGCAGGCCACTCTGCCTGGTCTTCTCTCAACCTAAACAACCGCACCTACCTTCAGGGCCTGCACCTTCCTGTCCAGCAGGCTCTCAATGTCCCCCGCCACCTTCTCCACCAACTTCTGAGGCTCATTCTCCTGCACCTCAAACAGATTCCTGTTGTCTTTGTAGATCTGGAAAGAAGCAGAAGCCTGGGGTGAGGCCAGGGTGGTCCCACATTCCCATGTCATGGTGCCCGTATACCCTCTCTGCATAGCTCACCACAGAAAGTCCTCACCCCCACCTCAACCCTGGCTTTGGCCACTGAGAGAGAACAGGGAGGTCTGGGGTTAGGCCCAGCGCTCTGATAGACTTGGAAGAAGTGCAAGGCCACGAGCTCCACAACTTGCACTGGTTGTGTGTGTTTGGTGGGACAAGGTTGTCGCCACCTTCTCTGGGACTCAGGGTTCCTCCTCCAGGGGCCATAAGCAGCACCTCCCTGACCAGCTCAGGGTGGCTAAGAGCAGCAGAGTGGGGAGGGTGGGCTGGATGGGAGGCAGGGTGTCCGGGGGAGATGGAGCCAACAGACACACACTGTACACCACATACCAACAAGAAGATGCTCTCACACCCACGTGTGTACCTAAACCCACACGCTCACACATGCATCTCACACACAGCCACCTCTCCACACAGGCTCAGGAATCCATGCCCCCTTTCTCTGGTGCTCCCTCAGGGCATTTGCGGAAACTACCGCAGGAGCTCTGGGTGCCCCTAGGGGCTCCTCTGTCATTCTGGGCACAGAATATGGGGGCAGGGACCAGGGAGGAAGAGGCATATGGGGGGAATGAATCTGCCCCCTTCCTATTCCTTGGGGGGGGGTGGGGTCAGCCTGTGCGCACATGCACTTGGGGGTGTAAATCTGACAGTCTGCACCTGCATGTGTGAATGTGTGTGTTATGGCTCAACGCACATCCATCTGTGTGCACGAGCCTGAGTATTGGGGTGGGTGGGGTTAGGGCCACTAGATAAAGCCTGGGGGCTGTATGGGAATTGTAGAAGCAGGTTTCTGTGGGCCTCTCTGTTCATGGCTGGGGTCTTGGGTGTGTGCACGTGCATGTGTGTGTGCACATGCATGCGTGTGTGCATATGTGTGTGTATACATTGCACACCCCTGCATGTGCCTCTGAGCCTGAATGAGTCTATGTGTCCATCCAGGTTACCCCAGGAAGTCTGTGCTGCAAGCTGGCTCCTTCACCAGAGGTCACAGGCTGGTCGCCACAACTGAGCTGCTGCCACCAGACTTTGCCATCAGGCTGTGCAGAAGTGGAGGGATGTGCAGAGACACAAAGAGGAGGTGACGAGGAGGAGATAAGGAGGTGGGAGAGGCCGCTGATGAGAGACAGACAGGCAGGGGAGATAAGGTCGGTAGAGTGACAGCCAGATGAGGGGAGATAAAGGCCTCTGGCATCTGACAGGGGGAGGAGGTGGGGGACCAGGTGCTTCCAGAGCCCTTGCTCTGCTGCCCACCCAGCGCCTGGCAGTGCAAGGGTTAAAGCACCGCTCAAAGCTGGCTCAGGCAATCTCCTCCTCCCACCGCCCCCCATCCCTCCCAGCGTCTCTTTTCTTTTTGTCCTTCTCTTGGAACAAAATAATTTGTGGTGAAGTCGCTCCTTCCCACAGAGAAGCAGCGATTACAGGGCTAGTCGCAGGCCTGGCTACACGGCCAGGGAGGATGGAGGCCCCAAGTGGGCACCAGGCCAGGCTGTTCCCTGGGCCCCCCAGGGCCTGCCTCAGGACACAGGCCCCCGGATGGAAGACAGCGATGAAGGCTGAGGCCCAGGAGGGGTCAGACCCTGGGGATCACTGAGAAATGCAGGGAGCCTGGTGCCTGGTGCCCACAGTTGGGGAAACCAAGGTTCAGAAATAGGAGAGGACAGGTCAAGGCCACACGACTGTGAGTGGAAAAACCAGTCACCCATCCTCCCTGACACCTTCTTCCCAGGTTTCAAGACATTAAAAATACACCCTTTCCCAATCTTGGACCATTGCCCCTGGGTGTGTTGAGGCCTGGTCTCAGCCACATTGGCTGAAACCTGGCTGAGCACACCGCGGCCCACTGGCGTCAGCAGGGGGCGCAGCCACCTGGCTTCTCAGGGCAGGGGATAAAGTTTCCATAACTGACTCCCCTGTCAAGGTCATTCCCAGGTGCCCCAATCAGGGCTGTCCATAGTGGCGGCAGCCCTAGTATTGGAGGCTGGACCATGCAGCCTCCTGACAACTCTCCTTAGGGAACCTGGGGGTCCCTCCCCTCTGGGTCCAGGATGCCCGTTGCAACCTGGCACGGTGACTGAACCAGGGCTCAAGGGGCTGCAGAGGGAGTGGGTTTCCAGGTGGCAGGGTCACACCCGAGGACCCTGACAGTTGACGCAAGGGCTTGGAAGCAGGGACCCTGCTAAGAAATACCCCATCTCTGAAGCTCAGTGTCTGATCTATTAAATGAGAGAATGGCAGTCCTCCCCTCACAGGCGGACCAAGGACCAAAAGATTCATGCCATGAGGAGCCTATACTATTGTCACTACTGCTATTGTTTAGCATCACCAGAATTCTGCAGAAGGAATCACAGTCCCCTCCCTGCCTCCACTCTCTCCTGGCTAGATCTGCACACTTAGGATCCAAAGTCATCGGCTCCCATTCCTGGTCAGGCAGCCTTGGTCTCCCTGGGTCTGTCCCCCTCCAGCCCCACCCAGGGCCTCCTTGGACAGCACCCCCTCCATCAGCTATCCTGTCTTTGTCCCCAGCACCTTGGCCTCGGCCCTGGTGGTGATAACAGAGGAGCCTAGACACAGGGACACCATGGATAGTGTACAGCCATGGCCAGCTCCCTTCCATCTCTCCCCAGGCACCAGGCCTGTGTGCAGTGGACCCTCAGCCAATGCATATGCCCAATTCCATGTTCGGGAGCAGAGCTCTGGAGCCAGTGTGACCCAGGTCTGACTCCACCACTTTTGCCTGCAGGTGTGCTGTCCCTTGGAGCCTGGGGCTGCATCTGCCATGCTTTCTTCCTGGGTCTACCCAAAGACCCACCATGACATCCTTCTGCTGGGCCCTGGTGCCAGCATTCGAGGCCTCTCCATCTCACTGACCTGGCACTTGCATGCAGGCCTCTGGGTCCCTAGCCCATGCTGATTCCCACTGCTGCACCTTTGCTTACGCTGTGCCTACTTCCCCTCCGCCTTTCCCCGCTTATCTAAATCCTCCCTAGAGTGAGGGTAGGGAAATGGGCTAGAAGAAGCTTCTGGTGAGATGAGGGCAGAATTCCAGAACTGCAGAGGCTGGTTGAGCTACTAGCTAAGCCTGTCCCCCAATCCCAAATGAGCCCTTGAGATGCAACAGCCCTCGATCCTTCCATGCCAGGTGCCTCACCCCTCTCAACATTCCCCCCGACCTGCTCCAGTTGTCCCTGTCCCCTGGGGTGGGGCCCTGAGCTGAACCCTGTGTCCCAGAGATCCAAATGACACAGCCCAGCAGATGGTCCCACCCTGGGGGATAGGTCATCTGTCCACTGATGTGGTCCGGGGAGGTGCTTTCCACCTGCAGGTCCAGGAGGAAGCCCAGGAGAGCCCAGGACAGCTCCAGGGCATAGCCAGGGCTGGTTCCCCTCAACCCCAGCCTCTAGCCTTGGTCCCTGGGGTCAGCTCGGAAGCAACAGGAAGGCCAGGGTGCACCGGGGGCAGGACCTCAACAACCACAGCAGGACTGCATGCCCGCTGGTGTCCTCGGCCCAGAGAGGCAATTGGAAAAACCCAACGGCCCCCACAGCAGCGCAGCCTGCGTGGCCCCCGGCTCTGCACAGGTAGCCGGACCAAGGAGAGAAACGGGGGCCAGCAGGTCTACAGGTTGTGACAGCTCCATGGCAGCCATGAGAGAGGAGATGGGGAATGGTAGTGGCACAGGGTAGCAGACTAGGGGACAGGCTGGCTGGAGCCAGGTGGACACGTGGGGTAGGGCAGGAGACACAGCGACAGAGGGGCTGAGGGACAGGGAGAGCACCAGCAGCTGAGGCCCCGAGGGATAATTCAGGAGGCCCTTTGCAGCTCCTCGTTCCCAGGAGTTCCTGGCTCCCCCATCCTGTACCGTATACCTATGGCCAGTGCTTGCCTGGGCATCCTCCTCCCCTTGAAGGCACCCCCTACCAGTTATCAAGACCTGTCCTTCCATGTCTCTCATCTCCCCCCCACCCACTTCCTGTAATGCCCCCTCCCCCGCCCCCGCCCCCGGCCCCGCAGTGTTGGCCCCGATCCCAGCCCTCTCTCAGCTCTAGTAATTCTTTTGTTAGGCAGCATGTCTGGCTAACCTGCCTTTTGGCCTCAGAATTTCCAGGGCCTGTGGGGGCCAAGGCCTCGTCAGGGGCCCCAGGCCCTCTGCCTAGCCTCCTGCTTCCATAGCTGTCCCTACATAAGGGGGAGGTGAGCATGGAGGACACTTGGAGGAGCAGTTACCTTGGACAGGAAGCTTGGATGCTTGCAGGGGCAGATGGAGCCAGCCTCATCCTCACAGCTCTAAACAGTCCTGACTGGGAGGGGAATAAGGTCTGAGGCACCTGAACATAGAGACAGCCACCAGAGGAGACAAAAGGCCCCAGAACCAGTGACCTGGACAGGCCCCTATCAGACTGTTGAGGCATTTTGCTAAGTCCCAGAAGGTCAGCGGCAGTGGGGCCTGCACCTAAGCCAGCACCTCACCTGCCCAGGGAGAGGAGGAAGGTGGGAGAAATGGAGACGAAAAGGAGGGCAAGGACGGCAAGGGAGAGGAGGGGAAAGGAGGGAAGAGGGACTGTGGAGGCTGCAGATAAAGCCCTGTTCGCCAAGTGATGGCTCCAGCCACCCAAGGGCAGGTGCTTCACAAACTTGACCTCGCTGATGTACAACCCCTGAGGAAGGACCATTCTGATCACATCCGTTTAGTAGATGGGACACTGAGGGCCAGAGAGGATATGTTACACGGCAGAGCTCAGATAAGAATAGTCTGTCTTATCCAAAGTGTTTGCTTTAGGTCACACTCTGTGCAGTTCTGTTCCCTGCATTTATCCCCAGACTTGAAGGTGAGGCACAGGGTATCAGCTGGGAATTTGGGGGGCCTGAAAGGGGCCTGGGGGACCCAGAGTGATGCTGAAAGCCTGAGGCCTGTGGA